CCGCCGCCGCGCGGGGCTGAGCGCGCTCCGCCCGCCCCCGGCCCCGCGGGCCCAGCCATGGCGAAGCAGTACGACGTGCTGTTCAGGCTGCTGCTGATCGGGGACTCGGGGGTGGGCAAGACCTGCCTGCTGTGCCGCTTCACCGACAACGAGTTCCACTCCTCGCACATCTCCACCATCGGTGAGGGGCGGTGGCCGGCGGGCGGGCGCGCGAGGCCGGAGCTCGGTCCCACCGGACCCCCGACCAGGACACGGGCGGGGCGCCGGGCCGGGGCGGGCGGACGGGGGTGCGGGCTCGGGGTGACCCAGCCCGAAGCCAGGACGAGGAGGGGCGCGGGGAGAAGGTGAGTCCCGAGGTGGGACACCTGGGGAGGCCAGGGCGCCCGCGAGGCGGTTAAGGATGTTTGTCCGGAAGGAGGCTGCAGAAGCCGCGGAAGGTCAGGGGCGCTCGCCGGACCCCGAATCGCGGCGGGGTGGGTGGGCGGCCAGGGCCGAGGTCTCTCTCGCCGATCTGCCGGTGGAGAGAGGGACAAGGCCTGGGGCATTCTAGAGCTGCCTCGGGGTGGGTGTCGCCTATTCTGGGAGTAGCTCTGTGGCCTCCCTGCCTCCTCGCGCATGAGGGGTCGTGAAAGATCCCTCGTGTGGGAACCTGAATGGGGGGCTTATGCCCACGCTGCTTGGTTCCACCCTGGCCAGCGGTGGAGCAGCTCTCCGTGGTGCGCTGGCTGGGCACAGCAGGGCACGGTTGGGGGGGGTGTCACCTCGTTGGAATGCCCTCCTAGAAGAAGCCCCCGGCCCTGGGGAGGGCTCCAGTTCCCAGCTTCGTCCGGGATTCCTCTCCTGCTCAACATCAGCACAGCACAGGCACCTTGCGAGACAGAGGCTGCAGCCTGGAGGAGCAGAGTGTTGTGAGAGACACTGTGGGGAGAGAGGTGGGCCACAAGCACTGGGCCTCTGGCGCCCCAGGGAGGAGACAGGTGCTGGGGAAAGTTGTGAGAGGGAGCGGGGGACCAGATGGAGGAAGAGGCCAGGTTGTCGGCTTAGGGACAAAGGTCAACAGGTTACCACGTACTGAAACTGGCAGTGGCAAATTTTGATGTGAGCCTGGTGCTGGGAACTGACCAGCTCTTCGCAGAGAACTATCGACTGCCTGGGGCCCTGGCCTCCCTGAAGAGCAGTCCTGCTTGGCTTCCTGGCCACATCCAAGTCCTGGACATGATTTGCCTTTCCCTTGGAGAGCATCACTGCCCCTTATTGCAGATGCTCAATACTCTTTCCTAGTGTCACAGAGAGTGCACCTCCCTAGGAGACTCAGGTCCCACGTCCTCAGCAGATAGATGAGGGACCCTCTGTTTGTAGCATACCATGGTAGACCTTCTGAGGATCCTTTGCCCCACAGTGCTAATCTCTAATACTTCTTGTCTCTTTACCCTGTAATCTCCCTTCTTAGAAGCCTTCTTCCTGCCAAAGGTAAGTGAGAGGTGGGTCAGGAACTTTTCCAGAATCCCTCTGGGCAGAGGTAAATGGAGGCGAGGCTCTTGGTGTGTTGGCAGGAAACCCAGAGACAATTTTCAGAATTCTTCCTCCATCTCCTGTCCATAGGCTACAGAGGAGGCCTTGGGTTCTGTGGAATAAGGAAATCGCCTTTCTTCATGCCAACCTTGTTAAACCTGCCCCAGTGGGTTTCTTAAGTACTTTCTTATTTAAAGCTTCCTATTCTCCTTCATCTTGCTGTATTTTCAGCATTAACTGAAGCTTAAGGGAAAGGGTTGGATGACTGAGAGAAGTTTTTTTCTTTAGGTGACTTGGAAAGTTTTCTGAGGAGATGGAAGGATAGGTAGGAGCCAAGAAAACCAAGGGTGGCCGAGTCATATTCATTCTCTGAAAAACATGTGCCGTGTGTCCTAGCCTTGGGAGGTTCTGGGATGAATAACATACAGTCACCAGAGTCAGTTATATCTAGTCCTTCACCATGGGGGTGCTGATCTAGGCAGCATTCTTGGAGGTGTCTCTTTTGTGTGTGAAAGGGGAAAATCAGGCAGTTGGATGGTTACTGCCAAGGCAAAGTTCAGATTCTTGGCTCATGCTGATGTCATCTAGAAAGGCTCTTTTGTGTGACCTGCTGTGTACTGTGCTTGCTATGACATTTTGTAGAAGAGCCTGCTGAGGAGCCACGAGGAGATCTTGCAGGTGAACAAAGGCGCTGCCTGCCCCTCCTCCATCTCTCGGTCTGGCAGGTGGGCAGGTGGCCCTGCAGCTGGGTGTGTGCCAGTGTGGGTGTCCCTTTCTCCTGCAGCTGTGTTCCCAGATGGGGGCTGGTGCACAGGAGGAGTCACAGCCTTGGGTTCTGTGCCTACAGCTATTTCCCGACAGGACGACCTTGTCTGTTACAGTAATTAAGCATTCCACAAAGCACCAGTCCAGGCATTTTAGAGATATCCTGTAGAATGAGCACAGGATATCTGGTTGAGCGCAACAACTGGGAGAGCAAAACACAGGCAGAAAACTCCCCCATGTCCCAAAAAATGATTGCCAAGAGGAGATAATAACCAGAAGTACTTGGTGCAGCACTCTTGAGCACAGAGGCTCAGCCCTCACTGCGCCTCTTAACGAAGGGCTCTTGAAAGGTCTGCTGGTGCTTGTCCATGTTAAACAGGGAAGATGTGCCCTGAAGCAGCCAGGGAAGGGGATGGGCACAGTGGTGAGAAGAGAGCAAGTGCTTCTGGAGACCAGAGGGAAGAGGCCCCTGAGAAATCCAGCCGGCCAGCAGGGAAGGCCAGCAGGGCCCTCCAGGGTGGGCTCTCTGGTTGGTTGGTCCCCCCAGCAGAACGGAGCAGATGAACAGCAGTGAGCAGAGATGACAGAGGTGTGAGGTGCGTGGGTGCTCACAGGACTGGCCAGTCTGGCTGCAGCAGCCGGGAGCTCTTAAGGGAGAAGAAAAACATTCCTCTGTTCATCTCTGTCTCCCAAAAGATAGGTGCCTTGTGGAAGGCAGTCTTAGCCCTCTTTGTTTTCCTGGCTCCTGTTCTACCCCGGGCAGCCGGATACCAGTCTTAACCCTCTCTTTCAGTCTTAACTCCTCCTTCACCTCGCACCCCACCTCAAGGGACATGATTACCTGGATCTCCTTTCAGGTGAGGGAAGGAGCTCATCCTACATGGACGCTATCCCAGGCCCTTGCTGCCCTTTAGCGTGGTGACTCCATATGTGTTGTTGCATTGCTGAAGGCTGAAGGTGGAGCTGTGGGCAGAGGCATCAAGGGCCTGGTGGGCCTCGAGCCTAGCAGTGGATGAAAAGGTTTTGACAAGGGTGCTTTTGCTGTTGGCTGAAAGAGGGGGTTAAGACTTGAAGCAGGGGGGCTGGTCGAGGGCTGTGCAGCTACGTGTCCTGGCTCAGTGACCCTCTTAGCTAGCTCCTCCTTCCCCTCACACCCCACCTCAAGGGACATGATTACCTGGATCTCCTTTCAGATGAGGGAAGGGGCTCATCCTACATGGACACTATCCCAGGCCCTTGCTGCCCTTTCACGTGGTGACCCAAGTGGTCTGTAAGCCACTAATTCAAGCTCAAGGGGCTGTCCAGGAGTTGGTTTTCTCATCCTTTGTCTCCCCTGAGTAGGCCTCACGAGGTCTCTAGACCTTTTGTTTGAAAAGCCACCCTTAGGCTGCTCCCTGTTTGGGTGAGGAGTCTGCCTTGGCTGCTGACTTTCTGGTTGGACTGCTTGGGCCACTGTGGCCTGAGGCTGCCTCCTCAGCGGAGCTGTGGTCTCACCTTCAGGAAGTGCTGGCAGAACAGCTCCAGCCGCCTGAGGCCCTGACCAGGCAGGATGGCTGAGGGGTGAGGGAGAGGGAAGGAAAGTCCATGGCACTAGAGCTGAGGGACCTAACACTGGGGTGTTAGGCCCTGGAATCCGAAGATCCCTGAGAGCTGAGAAGCCGTGTACAGATGCAGGGTGACATGGGGCACGGGAGCCAGGGATGGTTCTGCTCTCTGCTTCAGGGGCAGCTCGTAGGAGCCGGGCTCTTCCCACCCTGTTCCCCAGTGGAAAGGAAGAACAGGTGAGCCGCATGAGAGTTCTGAGCAGGGTGGGGACAGTCTCTGTGCCTGTACTGGCTCTGTGACCTGCAAACACTGTTTAACATCTCTGTGCTAAGCTCTGAATCTCTAAATTGAAGATAGTGGCAGAATCTTAATGGCTGTTGGGAAGATTACAGAAGCTAATGGATAAGAAGCACTTATCAGAGCTCTCAATAAAAAGATGGCTGCCATCACTGTATTGTTATTCCTGTGTCACAGAGACCAGTATACTGTGAGTACCAGGCTGTGAGGTCAGCCCACCCATCCATCTCTCCCAGGTTCCGCACTGCTGACCGAAAACCCACCTTGTGTCGGGTGCATGCTCAGCAGCAGGACACGTGAGTGGGCTCTTGTGTTTCATTTCACTTTCTGCCCCAGCACCCGGCTGCCCTGGAATCTAGTATCTGAGGAGGAGAAGTGACTTGGTGAGGAGGTGAAGAGGAGTAGGGTACCCTGGGAGGACAGAGCAGCTCTGCTTCGAGCCCAGGGCTGTCTCCAAAGTGTCCCCCACCTCCAGCCTGCACTTGTGCATTCCTCTTCTAACACAGGCGCAGACCTGGTCTCCCACCCACTCTCTTCCCCAGGGAGGTGACCACGGGGGATGAACACGTCTGAGGCCACAGAGGGTTTTGGGTGATCCACGCATCTGCACCAGCTTCCCAGATCTGCAGATTCCCTCACCGCTTTCAGGGTTGCTTCCCTCCGCCCTCCCTAAACGCCCTGCTTTCCGTTCCTGCCTCCTCCTCCCCCTTCCTGAGCAGCCTGGTGAGGAGCTTTATAACGTGAAAGTCGATATTGGCTGTTCCCCTTCTACCTTGATTGCCAGCTCTTCTCAGAATGCCTCCTTCTGTAATCTAATATTTGTTTCTGTTTCCTTGTAAAACTGCCAGTTTTCTGTGTGGGTCTGTGACCTCTCCTTGGCCTTTCTGCCTGGTCAGTGAGCTTTGCAAGGAGGTGAGGGCTTCTTAGATGTTTAATTCCTCCACTGAGCAGGCTCGCGAAGAGCTGATGACTCCCCAGACTGGAGCCACCCCCTCCCCTCCCGTTTCTCTAGGTTGCCTGGGGCGTGCCCTTCCTCCCGGGGGTCCCTTCTACAGGTTGCCAAGCAGAACCTTTCTCCCATGAGCCAAAGGGGAGAGAGTATGTGTCCCCACCCCATGAGCACCCTGCTTCCCTTACTCGCCCTTACACTGAGAGGCAGGGCTGGGGTCTCCAGGGGATCCAAGTGTTGGCCTTCTGTTAATGTTTGGATGAAGATTCACTGAGAACTCTGGTCTACCAGGAAGACCAGTAGTTGGCTCTCTTCCCTGATTAAAATTTTCCTTTGTCCTCTCACACTGTTGGCGTATACTGGCTTCATTCACTCACTGATTCGTTCATTTTTTTCCTGCCATCTATCATATATATATATATATATATATATATATATATATATTATATAGGTGTGTGTGTGTGTGTGTCTATACCAGAAATTGAACTCAGGACCCTGTACTTGTGTCCTTAAGCTATATCCCAGGTATTCAGCTTTGTTGAATAATATTTGGTTTTTTGTATGTTTTTTTCTTTTTTCTTTTTGGGTACCAGGGATCGAACTCAGGACCTTTCCCTTGCCAGGCAGGCACTTATGCCCTGTTGAATAATAATTAATTATCTCCCTTCTGCCAAGCAACAAGAACATGCCATGAAGATGCTGCTGGCTTGTCCCCTGGGAGCTCATAGTGTACTCGGGGAGTCAGACTTCCAAACAGTACTATGCAAAGGGGTTGTCAGAGGCTTTGGGATTACAGAGGAATGAGAAGTCCCTCCCTGGAGCCTCGTAGAAGTAGGGGCACTTGAGTGGGGTCTGAAGGCTGAGAAGGATTCCCTAGGAAACAGGTCAGGGGAGACACACATCCTCTCCCTGGGCCTTCTCACCAACTGGGGCTGCTGCTGGGGCAGGACTAGCTGGGAGCAGCCACACCATGGTCATGAAGGTTCAATGCAGGGAGGCCCTTGCTAGGCGGTCGCTGTACCAGCTCTATGTGAGCACAGATGCATCTGGAGGCCTTTTCCCTTCCTAGGTGCTTGCTGCTGGGGCTCCACGCTCCAATGTCTTCTTCCCTGAGCCTTCAGTGGAGAAGCAGGCCTGGATGAAGGAGGCTGGAGTGGGGAGTGGTCGGTAGGCTGGCTAGTGTTGGCACAGGCTCAGAGCACCAGGCTCGGAGGGTAGCTGAGCACACGGCCTGCTGTACAGAGGCTGCAGAGGGAAGGGAAGTCATGCGCTGAGTGTCCACCACGCACAGGGACAGACTGTCCTCGTGTAGAGATCTCATCAGGAAGCAGGATGAGGAGCTCCGAAGTTGGCCTCACTTGTGTTTCAGAACTTTTTTGGTGTATTCTTCAAGTTGGGACTTCTGTGGCTTTGTTGTGTGTAGCGTGTGTGTGCACACTCTTGTGCACATAGGCGGGTCCCTCTGAGATCTAAGACGAGGCAAGGGCTTTGCCCTCGCCCTTTGCAGCAGAAGACCAGGTTTGTCCGAAGGGTGTCGCTACCTGCAGATGCTTGCTGCTTCGTTGGCCTGGGGCTCTGGTCCTTTAGGTCGCCTGCAGTCGACTCCCTGCCACCTCCTGTAACACATCTTTGCTGCGCAGCCAGCTAAAGTGGCTTGCACTCTTTCCTCCCTCTGTGTTCTCTTCATCCTGCTTTTGCTTCTTAACCCCATTGCTCTTCAAAATGATTAGTTTACTGATCGTCTGGCCCCTAGAACAGAGGCTCTGAGGACAGGGCTGTCTGGTTTCTGTTCACTGCTTGCCCGAGAGTACCCAGCTCAGTTCTTGGCATACAGTAAGCATTGAATAACTGAGTGAATGAGCGAGTGAGTGAATGAATGAATGTATTTTCCTGGAGGATCCTTCCCCCAAAAGATGGTAGCAGTGGTTTCATGGGACTCATGTGACAGTGAGAAACTCACTGTACTAGGCATGTGGCTGGGACAGAGAAGGACGGCGACTCTGTGGAGTGAACTGTTCCCACTGGCTTCCGGCTCTACTGCTCAGGCACGTGCTGTAGGAGAAACAGTAGCGCAGACACAGGGAGGAAGACAGTGGCTTCCATGGGCCCTGTGTGCCCAGGTCCTCTGGTGGGTGTGGAGGGGAAGGGTTGGCATCTCTGTGTTCAGCCAGGCTTCTGGAATGATCCTGCAGGCCTACCTCCTCGGTCAGCTCTGAGGAAGGAGTTTCTGGGGCTCCAGCCCTGGACCATGCTTGCTTTCCAGCCTCCCGAGGGTCAGAGCCAGGCTGGGAAACCCTCGTGTTTGATAACAGCCCTGGGCTCCTGGGTCTTGTGTTTCTGGAGACTGCCCCTCACAGGTCTCATGGGAAGGTCATGGCCTCCCACGTGGTGCTGGCCCCCTGCTCACTATGGCCCTCTGTGGGAGGGGGTGCACCTGCATGGGTTGCATGTGATGTGTTTGAGTTTTGAAAAAGAAGGATAGAGTGCCAACGTGCAATCCCAGAACCGCTTGGGTAGACAGCTGCGTCAGCCTTTGATCCCCGTTCATTCGAGGTCAAACTACAGCTTTGGCTGAGTTTGTGCCTAACTCAGTTTGTGCCTGGTGGAATCAGGGCCCTTTCTTACATGTTTCTGTTTCTTGTCCCTCATGGAGCCAGATATGGCAACGCTGACTAAGGCCATTGCTCTGAGAGCCACGGTGCACCTTTTCCCCACAAGGGAGGAACGCTTGGTCCCACAGAGAAGGTCAGCATGTAGCTCAGCAGGGAGGCCAGAAGTCACCCAACAGAAGGCAGAGGGGGGGTGACCAGTGGCAGGTGTGGACAGAACGTTCCCATCCTCTCCCCTTGTCCAGTTGCTGGGACGGATGGTTCTGTGCCAGGATCCCCTTCGCCTTGACTCTACAGCTTCCTCTCTGCACTCTTGGGTTCTCTTTCCTGCTCTTCTCCTGTGTTCCCTCAGGGGAAAAAGCATCATTAAGACCCAGAGAAATGGGCCAGCCTGATAGCTCAGCAGACTAAAGTGCCTGCTTAGGCAGAGCTTGAGGAATCCCAGCATGCTGTGTGGGACCCTTCCCCCTGGGGGGGGGGGGCTCGCTGAGACAGCCATTGAGGCTGGGCGATTGAGACTGGGTGTCACCACACCACACGCCCCTGTAATCCCAGAATTTAGGAGGCTGAAAACAGGAGAATTGCTGAGTCCGATCTACATAGTGAGATCCTGTAGACCCTGTAAACCCTGTCCTAAATACAGGGGGGACAAAAGGACCCAGAGAAATAAATACTTTGCCCAGAGATGGGAATGAGGGAGGGGGGTTATTATGATGCCTTGTTTGGGTAGCGAAAGCAGACAGCCACCCTTAGACAGGGCTGCTTTTGCTTGAATCTTGTTGCTCAGAGGTGACCTCTTGTCACACCTCGCAGAGACGCCCCATATCCAGCACATGCCAGTCTCCTACAGGGGGAGGGGGCTGGGGCATTCCTGGGACTGGCACTTGGTAACAGGAACCAGTGTTGCCCGGGAGATTGGGTGTCTGCTTTGGGTTTCAGGTGTATTAAATTGTTCCTTGTTGTGGAGTTGAATTGCTAATGAAAAGGCTCAGGTCGGCCGATGGTCCTCTGGGCTGTGGTTGATGGTGGTGATAGTACTTGGCCCGCAGAGGCAGGCCTGTTTCCAGTGAGGCATGTGGGTGGCACTTACTCGGCAGGCGGTGAGCTGGCACCTGACATTAACCCATGTAGTGCTAGCAGGAGGGAGACAGGTGCTGCCCTGCCCACCGGCACATGCTAGCTTTGCCAGGGTCGAGGTTGTGGCTGTTAGCACCACAGTGGATGGCATTTTCTATTTTGATGAAACACTCCTCTTGGTGCCTGCTCTTTGCCTCAGCTCTCTGCGGTAACCCTGCAGGCCCACTCTCCTCCCTGTAGGGAGCTCCTTCCTCCTCTTAGAGCTCTTTCTGTCCCCTGGGACTAAGTTTGGGTCCCCTCCCCC